TCTCTCTCTCTCTCTCTCTCTCTCTCTCTCTCTCTCTCTCTCTCTCTCAGTGTGTGTGAGAGAGAACCTGTCGTGATGCCATTAGGGCATTGCATTGCATGTATTACAATCAGAATTTCGCCTTTTCTGTTTCTGAAATCCGTATTGTTATCCTTTATCACTGAGGAGAGATGTACTAAAAAGCATTAGTGGATGCAGGAGATAATGAGCTTGAAAAGGCAAGAAATAACCAGCGTACTAGACGGCGCACAAGCACAGACATCACCTTTGGCCAGACAATTCCTGCTTCAAAGGAACGGTATAATTTCAAACTTATCCTTTTAGCATATAATCACTTCTAGATCCAAATATTTCCTTCAATTCTTCCTTTCTCGATTATCGATAATGGCTTCTCGTAATTTCATGTGTGAAGCAGACGAAATCCTAGAAGAAGATGTCCAACTAGGCTCCGTTTACGAGATCTACCACAAAAACCTTCCTCCTAGAACTCCTGTTCAACTGAGATCCGTTCGCGTTGTTATGGTAATCAATCACTTCGTAAATCATTGACAAAAAAAAAACTGTTTTATTGATTAGATCTGAATATGTTTTCGTCTGACTGATGGATAATGATGATTTTCAGGTGAGTGAGAAGACAGATTTGAACGTCGCGATTAGGTATCCGAGTATTCTGTCATTACGAACTTATTTCAGTCATGGAATCACGGAGATGTATCCTGCTTTAGATGAGAAGTTTGTAATGGGAGTAAAACTCGCCGGCAAAGTGCTTTTCCGGCAAGTTCCATCTCAAGAGTTCGCCGAGAAGAAGCATCTGCAGAATTTCTGGCTGGTGAACCCAAACTCTCAAGTCGGGTCGGGTCATACTGCTATGAAAATTGAAGAGATCGGATTGGCCAAGGAACTGAAGAACAATGCCATGGTAAGGTGGGGTGTAAGAAGACAAGTTATGTTTATTGGAAGACACAAAGATATGAGCAAAACGACCCAGTCTTCTTCAAGCTTTGTTCATGGCGAAGAAGAACTGAAAAATGAACAAGATGTTAACAATGGTGAATTTGAGGAGGAGGAGGAAGAAGTTGATGAAGAAGAGAAGGGTGACGAAGATGATGATAATCTTAACAGAAGGTTGAAAAAAACAAGAAATTTGAGAAAAAGAAAGCGTGTGAAACAAGCTAACAACCAGTTATGGCTAATTAATAAAAAACCGATGAACAAGTGCAAGAAATTAGGGCTCATTAAAGATCCCACAGAAAGGTGGTCAAAGGAGAGGTATCTAGCGGCGGAGCTCAGTCTTCTAGAAGCTATGAAAGAGAAGAAGGCGATGATTGGGAATCCGATTACGAGACCTGCGCTTAGAGTTGAAGCTCGAAAGAGGATAGGTGACACTGGTCTCTTAGACCACCTCCTGAAACACGTGGCTAACAAGGTGGCGCCAGGTGGCGATTTGAGGTTTAGAAGGTCACATAATGCTGATGGTGCAATGGAATATTGGCTTGAAAGTGCTGATCTTCTAAAAATTAGGAAAGATGCCGGAGTTAGTGATCCTTTCTGGACTCCGCCGCCTGGTTGGAAGCCCGGTGATTCTCCTATCCAGGATCCGATCATGGCAAAAGAACTTAATCATCTCAAACAAGAAATTTCATGTATCAAAAGGTATTAAATTTAATGAATTTATTTTACAAAAGTTTAATGTTAATGTACCTAATTTGCGTTTTGTTAATTGATAGGGAGTTTTTATCCAAGAAGCAGTTTGAGGAAGAAATGGCAAATCTGAGAAGGTATAGTAAGAAGAAACATGATAGGCATGAGTTTGTTTTTTTTTTAATTATTTAGACCTTTAATTTAATAATTTTGTTTATGTGTATAATTAAATAAACAGGGATATTATGGAGTTGATTTCAAAGAATATAAAGAATCAAGATGAAAATAAAGCTATTGTGGTTTCTGAAGGTGTTGACACGAGTCCAAAGCGATTGACCAATTTTTGTAATTCATTGCTTCCTTATTCCGAGTCTGATGTAGATAACTCAAGAGTCTCAAGGGTACAATATTTTTTACACTCTAATTTCTGTAAATCTTTCCTTCTCTAATTTACTCATGTTTGTTTGTTTTATTTTATTTTTGGCAGGAAGAATGCAAGAAAGAAATGTTGGTCATTTTGAAGAAGGTTGAGGTGAGTCATACATGATATAATAAATGTTAAATGATCAATTACTAGTTTAAAACAATTAATATGCATGCTTAATAAAGAGTAATGTATTTAATATCTTGTGAGATCATTAAGTGGTCGTCTATATATTTTTTTGGGGTTTAGCTTTCTTTTTTTTAGAAGAAGCAAATATAATAAATGAATCTTAAATGATAAACAAGAAAAGGAAAATATTTGGCATATACAAGACTTTTTTGATAACATGTTTGCCGGGTAGTAAGAAAAAAATTAGAAAATTTGGTTAATCAATATAATTTGTACAAAAAAAATGAAACTTGAAGTGATTATTGCTAATAAGTTGGGGTTTAGCTTTCAATATATAGATGAATCTAAAATTAGAAAATTTGGTTAATTAATCAATATATTTTCCAAAATGAAACTTCAAAATTTGGGCAAATTAATTTGATTTTGGAATATTTTTGAAACTTGTAGTCATTAGTTGATTTGAATAAAAGAGAATCTCAATTCATTTAATTTATAGAAAATGAAAAAAAATATATATATTCTTAAAATTATTTGTGAAATAAAGGTTTTATATATAGTTATATAATGTGCGTGTGAGGGTAGAGCATGCATGCATGTAAAGTAGGATAACATTGATTAATTAATTCATGACATGCATGCATGACAATTGTTTAGAATATTGGACTTATTATAATTTTGTTTGTATATGTGTATATAGTATATACCGCAGAGTACATATATCCATGGTATTAATTAAAACATTTGGAATTTATATGTACGTACATGACTACAGGCGGAGACAAACAAGATGACAGGTGGCAGTAGTGGCACAGAAGAATTAATTAATAATACCCAAACAGCCCCTGCCCCTGATGATGCTGCTAAAAAACATACTGAAAAAAAGAAAGAAGCTGTGGCACTACCAAAACAAGGTAGTGATCCTCAGGAGACATCAGACGGAGGTGCACGGAAAGTAGCACCAACACCACCACCTGCAGGTGAAGGAAAAGCAGCGAAAATTGAGAGGTTGAAAAGTGGGTTCAGACTTTGCAGACCACAGGGTACTTTCCTGTGGCCAAACATGGTGAACAACCCCACCAACACCACCTCTTGTTCTTCTCAGGTTGTGGATCTTTTGGTGGTCCCAACTCCACCATCTGTTAACTCCTCCACGCCACCACAGCTACCCTACCACCACCATCCTGCCTCTCCTCCAGTGAAGCCTGTGCCGGAGAGACGCGCCGTTACTGTCACCGTTTCCAGTACTGACCATCCGCATTCTTCCACCAATAACGGCAACAAAATATCAACCGGCCTCATCAACCTCAATGACATCCCAACAATTCCATCTGCACCACAACAGACTCAACTCATGCCAACTGCTCATGTGAGCCTATTAATTTATAAGTTGGATAAATTAATTACATATTAATTAACTAATTAGATAAGTTTAATGATGCATGCATGTATGCATGTGCAGCAGGTGAAGAGTGAATTAGCCCAACAACAACAACAACAAAAAAGGAAGACTAGCAGGTCATCATCTTCCGCTTCTGCTTCTGCTTCGTCGTCTTGCTTGTCCAACACAGTAACTCCGGCAACTTGGCTATCCATATCAGGCTCTAGATAGATCAAAAACCCACCACCGTCATCAATGAATGCTAAAACAAGAATCACTTTATTAGCTAGCTAGGAATATATAGGATATATAATAGATGATCTCAGATATATTTTTGGACGCTACGTACGTACTGCTTCTAAATCACTTTAACTACCTATTATATGCATATGCATGCCAATATTAAATTGTAATCATGGTTGATTCTAAATATTGTTAATCTCTTGACCACATGTTTCATACATTAGTTAATTTATTATTATTTTTAAACAAACCATTTCAGCCTAGCAGCTACTAAACATTTTATACCTACGCTCGTTAATTATCCATCAACTAATATACATACAATAGCGGACTTGGCTAACAACCTCCTAACAACTTACTAGGAGGTCCAAAGGAGATATTTAAATTATTTGCCGTTTCAAAAAGAAAACTAAAACTAATATACATATATGGAACAATGAAATATATGCAATTAATATGGGTTCAATTAATATATATATATATATATATATATATATATATATATATATAAAACGCATATTTGGTCAAATTCTTAAAATTAAGTCGTACAAACCATAATGCAATATGTACAATCAATTTATGCATATAAAAAATATACATCTTATTCGGTCAACAAGTCAAAAATCAGATTTTGAATTTTTAAAATTTAAGATAAGATTAGCTATGTCTATCTTATTTCAAAATTCAAGTTTGCTTATTCTTTTCCCTTAAATATCGAATGTAATTCTTATCCGTTAAATATCAGATGTGAATCTAGCCGAACTCATCTCCAAATTGAATTGGTCAAAAATTGAAACAATATTCCCTCTTAGCATGCCGACATTGAATCGGTCACAAAATATCTATGATCTATATACCATAAAAAACATTTAGCTATTTTTAGAAAAGAAAGTCTTAATTTGAAGTAGTAGAAAATATAAAGCATGAAGTACATACATTTTGTGCATAAATCACATTACTCTGGACATAAAAACTAAATTATCTTAAATTAAGGAAATATAATTAGTCAAAAATGACCAAGTTCCATAAAATTAGTATATTTGACATTATCCTACTTTTCAAATTTGTTTTTCATCAACAAAAATCAAATTCGAATCAAACTAGAAATTGAATCGGTCAAAGAACGAGTATTACTTCAATGTCGTCCAATTGAATCGGTCAAAGGCTCTTTGAAGCGGTCAATATGAGATAAATTTGCCCATAAGACTATCCCCATCGGGGGTTATATGAGAGCGGCTCACCGATTATTTAATTTGAAAAAAAATAAAAAGTAAAAAAAACTGCAGTAATCCGCTCACCACAACAACCCAGCTCGTCCATCTAATGACCCATGTTTCTAGCCACGTGTACATTATCAAAAGATGGTGTTACATTAATATTTAAGATCAAAAATTAATTTCATAAATAATCATATTTTATTCTTATCAAAAAAATAAAATAAATTATATATTAATACATGATTTCTTTTTCTCTACAAAAATAAGATCATTATCAATATATATTTTTTTACTTTTTTTTTTATTATTAAAAATAGGTTTGGGTCGGATTGCTAATGGGTGTAAAAAATTGGATTGGTTTGGATTGTATAGGTGGAAGAGAGAGAAAATATTTTTTTTATAAAAAAATTGGATTGGGTTGGGTTGCTAATGAGGGTAGTCTAAGAACTCAATTGCCCAATCTCTGCACCTATATTTGGAATCTTGCATCTTTCCCCACGGTGATAACATAAAATTGGTATCCCATACTCTCTCATGGCCTCCCTTCTAAATTTTTTCCTTGGAAAATCTTAACTACAATCTGATAGCCACTACCAACCACCACTCATGCTCTGTTGCAGATGCATTTGCTATTTTTCATGATTTTTTAAAAAAAACGTTCTTACGCTACAATCGAGCTCTACTCTCTATCTCGATTTCAATCCCTAAAACTCACCTCAATCTTGATTTTTGTAGCTAGGAGACATTCTATGATTTCTTTCTACATCCCAACCATCTATTTTCCGCTACGATGAGTCACCATAGAATCGACTTTCTCTAAGGTGTCAGCCTCGTCAACCTCCAGACGAAGAACGGGTTAAAGAAAGCTAAAAACGAATTTTTTTTGCTATCAGGTGCAAGGTGCAGGTCGAGGTCGATGCCTCGCTGGTGTATCCATATACGATCTCCTTGTAAATTCCACCTAAGATACCACTCTTTGATTTCTGCATCTTTATTTTTATTCTCGATTACTTGCAGGGGTTTGTAGTATGAAAGGGTATATCGATCCAAAGATCATACGGTTTGAGGTGAACAGACCTAAAGTACCATCTACGACCCATATTCCTTCCTTGGTTATTTTTCTGAAAAAAAAAATCATTTATTGTGTTGGAGATCCATACAGAATCAATCGATTTTGCACCTGACTTTGAAGAACAAGAGTTAACCAATAGGTATATTTCCATGATTTTTTTTCTTTTGATTTATCATTTATACGATGTGTGTGTCTTATGTAGGGAGTGTGTGTGTGACTGTGTATGGCTATGTGGGTGTATCTGATTATGTATGTGCAATTATCTTATTTGGATATTAACTTACACACTAGGTTCCACTACGAGTGCTAAACTTTGGTGTTTTAGGCATTGATTTCCGGAGAGATCTTTTCTGGTTATACTGTTTGTTGGTCGTGTTTTGTGGTTCAACAACATTTGAGAGGTATATATGTTACTATTGTTGGATTAGGTGTCTAAGCCCATAACTATAATTGGTATGTACTTGAATTGATAGCAGCACGGTC